CAAATGAAACTTAAATTCAAGTTATGGTTTTAAATTTATCAATTATCATTTCAGTTGCACTCTAAGAAGAGAAATTGCCTTTTGCAAAAGAAGTTGAATGAYCTTGTCTTCATTCAATATAACAAAAGATTGGAGAGRCGCTACAAATCTYTTAARRATARCAAGTCTTCAAATCYTATTTTCTTGAGAGATGTTGAAGAAAATGATGATTGGGTGGTTCCAACCGACGTTGAGCTCCAAGAGTTTGTGGATGCAAGAGATGGCCTCCTTTGATCGGATGTACGAGAAGCAATGGGAGGTAATGAAGAAGTTGGACCAAGTACAAGAAGTAAAAGGGAGCGCTATAGAGATGATGATGATCATCATCACTTTGGAGATGAAGGGGAAGAAGAGGAAGATTGGGAAGCTAACCTAAACGAAGAAGTGAATGTATTGGATGATGTTGACTCAGATGCCGAACCTATTGCTTGCGATTAGCTCGTTTTTGAACACTTTAGATGATGTGATGTTTTAATTTTGAAACTATATTTCTAAACTCTAATTAATGCATATTATATATATAATTCTAAGAAATATTATGTTAACCGCTATTTCCGATATATCACCGATRTATCACCGATATAACCGATATATCGAATATCGGTCCTGACAGATATTTCGTATTCTGACCGATATAACAGCATAGATTATCATTATTTTCCAACTTAAGAAAACACTAACCAATAATTGAAAGGTGGCACACTCTCCTCCTATGAATGTCAAAATGTCTTTTTTTCCCTCTTCTTAGAATGGATGAAGTATCATTTATGCATTCAAGCAAATTTGCTTTGTATGTTAGAATGACAGAGCTTTTTCTATCCATTACAACACTTTTTCCCACCACGTCTAAACTCAATAATACCATATAGAGTCTGCTATGTCCACGCTTTTCAGTTTTCCAGTTTCACTCATAAAAGTTCCAGTCCATCCCACTTACACACCCCTCTAATAGTAGCAATAGGATGCAGTTTGAATTAAAATGACCACCATTTTACATCCATCTAACACAGAAAACATGTCATGGAGGCGATAACAAGGTTTTTTCAGCATATTATACAAAGATCAATTCAATTTTACGAACCAAATACTAATTCAGTAGAACAAAAAATATTATCAAATGCGAACCCAAAACATAAAATTTACCTAGAATTGATCCTGAAAGCAGCAGGAAGTGGCCTCCTTAGATACTCAATGAAAGAATCCCACTCCTCTGCACGCACTATCCCTTGCTCCTACAAAATCCATTTTCAGATAATACGGCGTCAATTTATACTCCAATAGCGTCTGTGCGCATGTGTTACAACTAACCAATAAGTACCTTATAGTACTCATCAAAAAAAGCGTTCTCAACAGCAAACGGCTGCCAGTGAGTGGGTTTGTTGGTGTTGTTTCCATTTTCTTCTTGCTGAGGATCGGATTTGCTGTTTTTCCAAACATTTTCTCGGCCATCACGAAAGTGCTTTCTTTGAGTTCTTCTAGACCTCCCTCTGCCTCCCATCTTTTTCTGCTGATTTTCAAAAAACACGAAAGAGGGAGGTTTCCTCCTCGTTCAGGGCATAAGCAAAGAAAAGGTTCTCGTGATTGAGTGAAACCGAACCATATATATCGCGGCAAGATTCTAGGGCTGGGAATGGGCCTTAGATTGGCCGGCCCAATCGATTGTCATTTGGAGTTCTTTTTGACATAAAACATTGGTTATTATTTTATTTTTATGATTAACCTGGATATCCAACCCGTTATGCGAGCCGACTAATCCTAGAAGAACCGCCCACTTTGTAGATAGCCCGAAGTCTTCGTATTTGAATCTCCATAGCCACAAGGGGATTCTTATTTCTTCTTAGTTTTGAACCTGAGATCTTCAAGCACTTTTGACCATGAATTATTATTAGAGTTGGCCAAATGGGCCCGCTCGGGTTGGGACTGGCGGAGGACCAGAACCGGGACCGACTTGACACCTGTCCGTTTGGGATTGATTGGAACCGGTTTGGGACCGCTAATTAAGGATCGATTACGCTCTTTGTCAAAAGATAAGTCCAACCCGACCCGGACCAAAACCGATTATGGGCCCGAACCGGGACGAGCTTGATTTTTCAAAGAATAGTAGTTGCCCAACATTCATATGACTCTTTTTTGTCTCTTTTACCCTCTATACACTACATATAGGTCACCGTAGTGTATGAAGGAAGATACCAACTCACAAACGTAAAAGAACGTTCACAATTCTCGCTATAATTTTCATGATTTCGGCTCGTATTCGATTTCAATTTTTAACAACTCCTATTTCTCATTTTTTCCCTCTTTTCTTCTAAGTGTATTTGATTGACCCAATTACATTTTAAGTGTATTAGAATAACATTTTTGTATTATTTTAAAAGATATATGTAAAAATTGAATTTAAAAAAAAACTTAGGCCCGGTTTGGGTCCAGCCTAGGACCAGGACATGGACTAGTTCCTATAACCGATTACGAGGAAGCTTAACCGAGGCTTTGTGTTTTAGTCAGGACCAAGGTCGGTTACGAGAACAGTATTTGGGATCGGGACCAATTTGGACCTGATCTAAAACCGATTTTAAGCCACCTCTAATTACTATTATCGGTAAATTAAAAAAAATACAACATATTTTAATCTAATTCTTATTTTAATAAACATACTTTTAATAACTTTGATTTAATATTTAAAATATGATATTTCAAATACTTAAATACTTAGATAACCGTTAAAATGTTAATCGAACATACGGCTTACCTTATTCGTTGAGGTGGTAAGTGATGTGAATTTCCTAAATATAAATTTATTTTAAGATGTATTTTTTATTAGAATTACTAGTACTAGAAGGTTACTCGTACAATTCAGCGAGATGCATCTTCATTTTAATGTTTCGTTTTATTTTTTTGTCTCTGTTGATATAATACGGTTTATGTGGTTTTGAGAAATATATTGTTTTTGCTTTTAAATAAAAATAAATTTGAAGATATCATAAAAATTTAAAAAATATATCGATGTTAATATTAAATTAACTATTTAAAAGTTCTCGTTTTTTATACAATTTATTTAATTCAATTTTTTATTATAATTTAATTAATGTCTAATAGCGAAGTAATTTATTTTTGAATTAACAATATAAATTTTATAAAAATAATGATTCTGTTAGAACTCAAAGATTAACCTAATTATATTTTAGATTTTTTATACTTAAAATGAAATGTTTATCGTATATTTGATTATGTTTTTCTGCAGTTAGTTATACGAATTCAAAAATGGGATGTTTAATAAGTTGTACTTATACTGGATTTATTTGCAAACTTAAATTTTATAAAATATGCATTAATAAAGAGTAGTTTACGTATAAAAAATAGTTTTTAAGAGTTTTTGTCAAATGCTTTATAATATAGTATAGATTATTTATGAATAAATGCAAGAAAACATTGACAATGTTTTTTCCAGTTTTTTTATTGCATTTTAATTTTATTTCTTCTCATTGTATTATATTTTTAAAATTATATTTTATTAAAATATTTCACTAAAAATCTATCGATTATAATAATAAATAACCAGTTGATTTTAATTTAGATTATTGAATACCATGGTATAAATTAGCAGGTTTTATGTGATGCCATTTTCCACAGTAATATCTTATCGATATGACAATTTTTTTTAATTGTAGAATGGTATTTTTAAAATTGTTTTATTATAACTAGAATTGCAGCCTGGTATTTTTAAAATTGTATTATTATAACTAGAAGAAATATTCGTGTAATGCAGTGAGATACATCTTGATTTTAATATTTCATTTTATTTTTTATTTCAGTCGATGTCATAATATGGTTTTATGTGACTAGAAGCGTACTCGCGCAATGCAGCGAGATACATCGTAATTTTAATATTTCATTTTATTCTTTATCTCAGTCGATGTTATAATATGGCTTTATGTGATTTTGAGAAAGCGATGATGTTTTTATTTTTGAATAAAATATATGTTTGAAAATATAATAAAAAATTGACAAAAATATATCGATATTAATATCAAATTAACTATTTGAAATTACTCATTTTTTTGTGTAATTTTTTAATTCAATTTAATTTATGTACAATAACGAAGTAATTTATATTTGGTTTAATAATATAATTTTCTTATAAAGATAATAATTAATTATTTTGTTAGAACTCGATAATTATTCTAATTATATTTTAGATTTTTTTTATTTTAAAATAAGATGTTTATCCTCTATTTGATTATATTTATCCGCAATTAGTTATACGAATTCAAAAATCGAGCTTTGATAAATTGTATTTTTGCATAATTTACTTGTAATATTGAATTTTAAGTAAACATTGGTTTTATGTGATTTTGAGAAAGTGGTAATATTTTTATTTTTGAATAAAATATAAATTTAAAATATCATAAAATTTTGAAAAAAAATATCGATATCAGTATTAAATTAATATTCTTAAAAATTCTTGTGTTTTGGTGTAATTTTCTTAATTAAATTTTGTTAGTTATCAATGATTATCATAATTATATTTTAGATTTTTTATATTTAAAATGAGATATTTATCCAATATTTGATTATGTTTATCCGCAGTTATTTAATAGAATTCAAACATCGAGCTTTAATAAGTTGTACTTATGCATAATTACTTGTAATCTTGAATTTTAAGTAATATGCATCAATATACAGTACTTTATGTATAACACAAATATATTGATATTCGTATCAAATTAACTATTTAAAATTCCTCATTTTTTGTGTAATTTTTTAATTCAATTTTTTATTATAATTTAATTTAGGTACAATAACGAAGTAATTTATATTTGGTTTAATAATATAATTTTCTTATAAAGATAATAATTAATTATTTTGTTGGAACTCGATAATTATCATAATTATATTTTAGATTTTTTATATTTAAAATGAGATATTTATCCAATATTTGATTATGTTCATATGTAGTTAGTTAGACGAATTCAAGTATGGAGCTTTAATAAGTTGTATTTATGCATAATTTACTTGTAATCTTAAATTTTAAGTAATATGCATCAATAAACAATACTTCGTGCATAAAAAAATATTTTTAAGAGTTTTTGTCAAATGTTTTATACTATAGTATAAATATTATAGATTATGTGTTTTAAAAAAAACAATAATGATTTTATTTTGGAATAAAATATAAATTTGAAGATATCATAAAAATTTTAAAAAATATATATCAATGTTAATGTCAAATCAACTATTTAAAAGTTTTATTTTTTATGTAATTTCTTTAATTTATTTTTTTATTATAATTTAATTTAAGTTTAATAATGAAATAATTTATTTTTAGGTTAATAATATAACATTTTATAAAGATAATTGTCGGACCTGTAAATTCAACTTTAATATTGATCTGTTACTCTGAATGAACTCTAAGACGATTAAAGTACAGCGGAAACAATTATAAGAACAGAACAGAGTAATTAAACCAAGAACACACAATTAAAATGATGAAGAAGATGAACACAGGAGAATAGTTTCAAAGGTTTTTCAATTCATTCAATTGAAAATAAGACGATTATTATTCGGAAGCACATTGAATACAAAGGCCTTAGCCGCTATTTAAATTAGTTCCTAACGACCTTACTGACAAGATCTTGACGCGTGAAATCATCTAAGCCGTCCAAATAAAGTCGATTAAGTCCTAGTCACGTGAGAAACACATGCAGTTAATAACCATTGAAAAACAGTTGGAAGGGGATCTTCACACAAGACGAAATCCACAGACCCTCTGTGAGCCATCTCAGAGGCTCTGCAGTAATTGACTTGCTTGTTCTTATTGATAGAGGACCATTTTCCAGAACCTCTGTGAGAGACATCAGAGGTTCTGTCACACTTTACTTGCTCGAATATCAGGCTTCTATCGTTAGTCCTCTATTGTCTTTTGTGGAAGATATGCTTATGTCAATACTTGCAGAATATTTTTTCTATACTTTTACAAGAGATGAATAATAAAGCTAACAATGTCCCCCTAAGTATGAAAAAGTAAATTTGGACAAAAGGGTGCAAGAATTGACTAATGAAAGAATACAAGAGGAGATTAAACTCATCCTCTGAAAAAGAATTACATAAATGAACGAAATAAAAGATAGTGCAGGCCTATACTATTACAAGAGATTAATCCATAGTAGAGTCTGGATAGTCATCTACAGCAAATTGCAGATCAGACTTGATGGTTCTGTAGACTTTGAATATCCATTCTCTGAAGGAGACTTGGACCTTGATCGTTTCCAGAAGGTTGTTCACTTCATCCGTCCTTAAATGCCCTCTCTGCACCTTTGTCACCACTAGGTTGAACACCCACTCAAGAGACTCTGTTGAATATTTGTGCGTCTCTTTGGGATCGAAGAACCTTAGAATCTCATCCTTGTCCAGGAATACAAACCCAAAGATGGGATTGTGGACAATGGTGTTGGGATGAAATCTAAGCAGCCAACTTGGTCTGTTATTTGGAGGGGAAATTTTTAGCTTTGGCTGGGCCAACCTCATCGCGATGTCAAAATCTTTCTGGCTGTAGAACTTGACTTGAGCGCG